TAGTGCTCTGGAGTTTTCTCTTCTTTTAGAAGTTTTCTGTGTTAGAAGCTAATTTTTCTCAACCGGGGCAAAGTTTTACATGAATTTTACTTCATTTTCCAGTATTATTTCCTCTCTTACCGCTCCTGTTGCTGTGCGAGGTGAAGCAAGACAAAAAGCAGGTACAACCCGGTGAAGACGCCGCTGCCGAGAAGCAGTGAGGTCCTCTTGGCGTGGTGACGAAGCGCCTGAGGAACGCAGGCTCTGGCGGCAGCGACGGGAGCAAGGGTGAAGTGCGCTCCAGCCCTGGGAACGGCGCCGCAGAACGGCCGGGGCTTGTCTGGAGCCCAAGGCTGGGGAGGAGCGGCTGGGGGGGCTCAGCCTGGAGAAGAGGAGGCTGAGGGGAGCCCTCATCGCTCTCTGCAACTGCCTGAAAGGAGGCTGGAGCCGGGGGGGTCGGTCTCTTCTCCCCAGGAACAAGCGATGGGATGAGAGGGAACGGCCTCAAGCTGCGCCAGGGCAGGGTTAGGTTGGATATTAGGAAAAACTTCTTCCCCCAAAGGGCTGTCAGGGCCTGGCCCAGGCTGCCCAGGGCGGGGGCTGAGTCCCCATCCCTGGAGGGATTTAAAAGAAGAGTAGACGTGCTTGAGGACATGGTTTAGTGGTGGGCTTGGTAGTGATAGGTGGACGGTTGGACTCGATATATCATCTTAAGGGTCTTTTCCAACCTTAATGATTCCATGATTCTATGAAATGGAGGCAGGCAGGGGAGATCTCGCAGCCAGGGCTCTCTGCGTGGAAACCGGAGGCAACCACAACTAAGGCCACTTGAGAAATGAAGGGTACTGCGCTGCTGCGGGTGCCTGGACCGGCTTTCGCAGCTTCAGTAGAAAGACCACCATCAGTAATAGCAATTTTTTTTAACCAACTACAGCAAATGCAGAGATGTGGAAAAAAAAACCAACCCTGAGTTTTTGTGTTGTAGCTAATGAAGCGCGTAACTGGAACTGCCTGGTCAGAACGAGCCGTTCCCCGGGGCTGCTTGTACGGAGCATTAAATCCTGTGCTGCAGCCTTCGATGGGTTCTCGGATCGGTGAGGGCTGTTACTGGTGGTGGTGAAACCACGTAATTCAGCTGTGCTGGCAAATCGGAAGGAATTTGCTGTCGGTGTATAGAGCTGTCTTGTTTAAAGACAATCGTTAAGAAGTGATTTTAACAGGGACCTGGCTCCCTGCTGTCCTCAACTTGGGTAAATTGCAGCAAAATGACTTGATGGCTTCCAAACTTCTCACGTGTAGGTGTATGTTAATCCTAGAATTATCTTCGCTATTTAAGGGATATTGTTTGTGTCCTTCTGTATACTTCTAAATAAATGGAATTTTTACGGTATTTCCTTAAAATGTCTAATAGCAACAATCTCCAGTTGCCCACAGTTTGCATTTGGTGGCGAAGTTACAACCTGCACGTATGTGTGGCAGGCTCTACTGGCGCCGCGTGCAGCTCTTTTAGTGTCATTTGTCTTTGCAGAACTGTGAAGCAGCTCCAGAGTGAGCGTACAAAACCCTCTCGGGGGGGTGGCTGCGGTGCGTCCCAGCGGGCCGCGGCACGAGAGCAGGGCTGGGAGAGGGCAGCCGGGAGCTCCATCTGCCCTTGCTGGTAAAAACCCGTCATGTTCTGCAGAGAGGGAAATAAAAAAGGGTATAAAAGGAAATAAATATACTCTAGCATTTGTTTGAATATGTGATTGTACTTTAATGCAGCATGATATATGGATTTAATCCGTATTTAGCACATGAAACCGTTCGTGGCCACGTAACGCGCGCTGGAGCCGCTTGCTGGTAAACCTGAAAATACCGCAGCCATCCTCGTTTCTGCGTCCCCCCGGGGCCTGTCATGGCTCTGCGCTGGAACACAGCTCTTTCCTTCAGAAAAAAACCATCTTTTTCTGGGCTTATTGTCAGCAGCTGGAAGCCATAGCACTCGTTTCCCTCTCCTCCGCTGTGCCCCCCTCCAGGACAGCCCTTTTACAAGCAGAAACGACTCTTCTTGATGCATCAGCGTTTCCAGGACCATTACAAAAATAAAATACTTTTGTTTTTACATTAGTATTGTAACTGAGTCTAAAGAATTAGAAAAATTAAACGTTCGTTCTTAGACTTGCATTGACCACAGGTATCTACAGTATTTATTTCAACATCCCATTAGAATGTCTGCTATAAATTTACACCATAGAAAGAACGTATGCAAAACGCGTATGGTTTATACATATAGCTTTCTTTTTAAATACATGTATTTATACATTAAACAAACAGAAGCATTGTCAAAATACAGTAATACTGAGGGTTGTTATTTTAGTAGTATCCCAGACCGCGTGTAGTCTATACTTCTTCTGGTACGTGGGTTTCCTTTTAAGCTAATTATCTCCTCGAATTAAGGGTCGGTCAGGCCTCGGAGCGCCCCGCCAGGGAGGAGAGGCACCCAAAGCCCAGCTCCGGCGGGGCCCCGGCGCAAGGACCCCTCGCGCCCTGCTCACCCGGGCGCTGGCTGCTGCGGCACCGGGCACGGGGCGGCGGGGTTGGCCGAGGAGCGCGGCGCTGCCGGAGCTGCGCTCGCAGCCGCTGCGCTGACGGCGGCCTTTACCCAGCAGCCAGGCAAACGAAAAAAAATATTAAACACTCATGTTTTGAGTAGTTAGACACGTGCAGGTAATCACATCCTCCCTGCTGCTTGGAATCTGTCTGAAATCTAGACAATTAAATATATTAACACTTGAAGAGGCATCTCTGGAGTTATCTGAGCTTTAAATTGACACAGGCCCAACGTGTGCTTTTGCACTTCAACTGCGCTCACTTTTTAGCCTCCAAAAACTTCTTTCTTTTTTTATTTTAAATGATGCTTTTGGCACGCTAAGTTACAAATGGAAGGAAATAAAACACGTATCTGCCTTAACCAAATAGATAAAAAATTAATAATTAAAAAAAAAACCAAAACAAAACCAAAACAACCCAAAAAAGCATCAGAGACAGTTCTGTTTGTGCCCACATCTAAGCGTAGTGGAAAGGCCTGGCTCACCGCTCTCCGAGCCCGTGGCACGCCGTCGGCTGACGGTGCCTGGTGCAGGCCACCCAGGGCCTCGTCACCGGCACGTCAGGCACAAATAACAATAAAAAAAAAAAAATACTGACCCCAAACCCCAGCCAGGCCCCGAAGGTCTTTCCCAACACCTTCTCGAGGCAATGCCAGCCTCGGGATGGGCCCTACCCCGGCCAGCCTCGTTCCTCTCATCCGCATTTCTCCCCCAGCGCTGCTTTTCCCACGGGATGGGCAGGACGGGCAGGGGCTGCACCGGGACACCTCACCAACTGTTTAAAAAAATGACAATTTTTAAACAGATTTGGTGGTTTGTGGTTTTTTTTTTTTTTTTTGTAAACAACTTTTATTGGCGGTGTTAACAGCGAATGTTAATGGCATTAAACTGTTCAGCTGGCAGCAAGTCTGGGACGGCCGATGGGATTTCATGGCGTAGTTGTGCTTTACAGGCTTTTCTTTTTTTTAAAAAAAAAAAAAAAAAAAATACATTGGAGTTTTAATATGTGAATGCAAAAGTACATAAAGTTAACAACTCGGTTATTCACTTGGCAGTCAAATAAAACCTTTACACATCAATGTTGTAAAGTGTGCAAAAATAGATGGAAAATACATCTCGTGTTTCTGCTATCGAAAGGCCCCTGGGGAGCGGCCGATGCAGACCGAAAGCGGCTGGCCAGCGTATGCTATGCTGCGGCGTACGGTTTAACGCTGTTCTGTACATCCATGCACCTCTGCTGCAGGCGAAGCCGCTCGGACGCGTGGTTTTGGGTTCTAAAGTTGAGCACGGACGGAGGGAGCTGCCGGGGGCCGCGGCGGGCAGAACCCACTGCCTTTAACGGTGTCACCAGTCCGTGACCCAGGGGAGGGGACGGAGGGAAAGCCAGGCCCGGGCTGCGCAGCCGGGGGGTGTCGGGCCCCAACCTGCCCCTGGAAGGAGGGGAAGGGGCTGAGCCGCGACACCGACCCACAACACCCAACGGTGCGTGTCCCCAGCCAACCTGCCCCGTCCCACCCCCTGTATGGGACCCCCGAGTCCCTCGTCCCCCCAGGCAGCCCCAGGCAGCTCCAGCAGCAGCAGCGATGGGGGACAAGCTCGGCGGGGGACGCAAACCCAGGGGGTACGGTGCCCGCAGCCGGGGCTCGGGTTAGAGCTGGGCAGGTGTGATGACAGGCATTGCCGCAGGGACGGCACGGCTCTCGGTCACCTGGGTTTGGTGTGGTTTGGTTTGGTTTGGTTTGTGAGACGCTGAGACACGCTGGAGGCAGTGCAGCCCCTGCCATGGCACCGGAGGGGGCCGCACCGCCCTGTCCCATCCCATCCCAGCCGTCCCACGGCCACCGGCGAGTACTTCCCTGCCTCCTGGCAGAGCTCCGAGCGCTCCTCTCATCGATGCCCGTAACAGAAAACCAACAGAGGGTGAAGAACATGAGCTGGGTGAAAGAGCAGAAGTTTGGTACCCCGGGGGATACCTGGTGGAGGAGGAGGAGGAGGAGAAAGAGGAGGAGAAGGGTTTCGGTGCAGTTTTGCTCTTGTATTGACAAGCCCCATCAAATGCAAACAACCTGCATCGTCCGGGGACAATACTAAATGCAGTCCTCCTGTTCCCACAGGGTCATTTGTCGTCTGGTCTCAGCCATGTCCCACCAGCACCAGCGAAGACTTTCTCACTAGTTGCGGTATTTGTATAAAAAGTTAAAAGCCACGGGGCGTATGACCAGCGGCCATCGGTCTGTCCGGCTGTCCCGTCCCTCCGGGGCGTCCGGGCATCCCTTCCACGGCACAAAGCCAGACTGGGCATCGCCTTCCCCCGGGGCGACAGGCACCCACGGGCGGCAGCAGCCTTCCCCTCTGGCTGGCCGTCCTCTTCTTCACTGCCTCTCCCCGGAGCCCACCGGCCCCCGGCAGGGGCGCGGGGCACAGGGGGGCTGCTCACAGCTGGGTCTCGTCGCGCGTTTCGGGGTTGCAGGGGCCCAGCTTGTTGCTGCAGCTGCTCTTGCGGCTGTGGCCGTCGTTGGCCACGTGGGCCAGCGGGTCGGAGCGGATCAGGTACCTGCGGGGCACAGCCTGGTTACGCCACTGGAACCCCTCCCAGTTCCCCGATGGCAGGAGGGAGCTGTGCAACCCCTAAATTGGGGTCTGGCCCATCCTCGAGGCCAGGACACGCAGGGATGCCCCACGGTGCTGTGCTGGGAGCTGCTGCTTGCAGTGGCGTAGCAGCTGTTAAAATAATTAGGAGTTATTGCTCCTGGTGCTGCACAGTGGCAAAAGGCAAGGGAAAACCTCCGCGCTGCCGGTCGGAGCAGTGATGAGCACAGCTGGGGCTGGGGCGGCCTGGGCACTGCTCAGGAACACGGGGAGGGGGAACGGCCTGGGAAGAAGGCAAAAACCGCAGGTCTGTATGAGAAATCACGGCAATGTGACGGGGGCAGCCCACGGCGATGGGGCAGGCCTGGGGGCACGGGGAGCGCTCCTGCCCGGGGGGGAGCCTGGCCGAGTGGCTCCATGTCCCAGGGGCCGAAGG